TTGGGTTTCAGCTTTAAGAACCCGATGCCCATGGTACATAAGGCGGTATTATATCCTTCTACATTAATTTAATGGAGTGGAATCACGTAAAAGTAATTGCACGCGTACACAATAATCCCTTCTCCTCTTCGCAACTACCAAACAATGTTTCGTGTGGCACTGACGAAAATGGAGAATACATTGAAGTAATAAAAAACCCGGCAGCAGTGGCTCAAACACCTGAAGAAGAAAGGGAAAAAATTATTCAAAAGGAACGATTTTATTTCGATCGCTGTAGTGACTCTTCTGACTTGAATTTTCAACACGCAAAGTACACTGAGGAATATCTAAACTTAGCATTAGAAGGATATAATACCGCCTTATGTACCATGGGCATCGGGTTCTTAAAGCTGAAACCCAATAGCAGTTATGATAGGACATCCTTACTCACAGCTGTGTTCGATAGATTGGTTCAAAAAGTTCAAGATTCGGTGAGACTTATTAGTGATATGGTCATTTCCTATGCGTTTATGGGCATTACCGACAATCAATGTGTTAATCTTTTGACAGATTGGGATGTTCCCGGCCAAAAAATTATAGAAAACGGTATTGAGTCATATTATGAGAAGGCGTCTTCACTTGAACAGTTAAAACAACATTCCGAATTAATCAAGCAAGGCTCCTCAAAGCCATATGCACTGATGATCAGATTTGAATCAAAACACGATCGGAAACCTTTGTGTTGTTGATTTTGGTCTCCCTCAGTTCATCCCGGATCCTTACACAAATCCTTTGCCAGTTCAACTACCAAACTCAACGCAAGTTCTTCGGAAGTGCATAAGTATGCTTGCGACCGCAACCCTCGGGGTCATTCCGTGTCGAAATTCTGTCATAACGGCGATAATTACTGATTTCCTTAACGGCAATGGAATGCTGGTATTCTTTATGAATTTTGAGGGATGGAACGATCCAAAGGATTATAGTCATAGGACAAATAACATTGCAGCTGGACTCGAGTTTACGAGGACCATAAGCCGAATAAAGTGTCGAGTTATGAAGAATTACGTGGACTCACGCTTGGTTTCGTGTCGACTAGAATTATCTCGGAGAGAACACGAGTTATCAACGTTAAAGGATCAATTATACCAACTCCAACAGGATCTTCTTAAATTGCAGAGAGATTTTGATCACCTCTCTTCAAAGCATAATCTGTCTTGCGATGAGGTCACGAGGACGATGATCGAAAGATGTGAGGCAAGTTGTGAGGCGATAAAGTTCAAGGATGATGCGCAATTGCTAAATGAACAATACAATCTGTCTAAAGATGAACGAGAAGTTCTCATTATGGAAAATAAAGTTTTGTCATTTAACTTGGAGGTGGCGAAATATGAATTACGAGAGTCAAAAGAAGAAAACTCCGAGTCATCGGAACGCATCAAAGAAATTGAAGAGGCCTACAAAACTGCCGAGGAGAAATTTTGCCTGCTGAAACAACAGAAAGAACATCTCCTTAAGAGGCACGCTCAAAGTATTGAAGAAATAGAGAAAATCACGAAAGGTATTGAAGATACGAAAG